CTTGTGCAATTCGTTTAGAAATAATTTCACATCACTAAAACTTACACTAACTGCTTCTCTCTGAAGGTTACAAAATGAACATTTTTCATCCATAGACCAGTCAGTCAGCTCTTCTGGTTCACAGTCTTTAAAAGAAGGAAAAATACTCATTAAATTCACTAACTTCATTAGAACAAACAAAAATCCCACTCTCCACAGCAGCAAGATGGCTTATCTAAAAATAAAACTAGCTACTAATGCTAAGGGGAGAAGGCCCAACTTTAATACCAAATTGATGGCATCTAAACGGAAATAGGCAAAGAAGGCCAGAGGAAATTACGCCGGCATCACTGTGGGGCCAAATAAGCCCTGGTGGCAGAGTGAGGTAGACACTGGGCTGCTAACCACAGGCTCAGGAGGCCAAATTCACCAGAGGCTCTGCAGGAGCTATGGGAGTGTGGTAGTTACATAACCGCGTGTCATCGTGAGGGTATTAAGAGTGAATGGGTGGTGGAGTCTAGCCTGTTAATTAGTTCCTGGTCTGATGATGCCTCCTTGTGGGCACTGCTTTCTCATGAGGATTCTGAGCACTATCTATCTATCTATCTATCTATCTATCTATCTATCTATCTATCTATCTATCTATCTACCTACCTTACCCTTACCCTTACCCTTACCTACCTACCTAATCTATCTAACTCTCTCCCCGCCTTGATCTTCCTGTTGAGAAGCCACATGGAGACTTGCTGAGACCCGTGAGGAGCCGCTCTCTCTGCTTCACTTTGCTGTTGAAAAGCCACACGCAGAGAGTTGGAAGAGCCATGTGGAGACCCATGCCAGCACTGAGATGCTGCCACCACCACCATTGGACCCACAAACTTTGCACCCACTGGCCTGGGATCTTCCTGCATTTTACAACATTGCATGTGCTGCATGACTGTAAAGAGAGGTTTATGGACTGGTATTGGACTTATGGGCTAATATCGGACTCAGGGACTTGTTTGGACTGGACTGGGCTGTTTTCTTAATTACAATTACTCTGATATAAAGCTCTTCCTTATACATATGAGTGTCCTAGTATTTTTTTATCTTGTCAACCCAGCCTAACACAGAGAGGAACCTAGCATTTGTTTTCAGGGGTTTTTGTTGGTAAGCTGGTAGGCATGAAGGGGTACTTTTTGAACAATGGTTAGAAAGCCTCACAAAGTTTTAGTTGTCTCAAATCTGAGTATGTTGACTCATTCCCAGATCAAGGCACTACTAAAACAAAACACGGAAAACAACTCTGGACTGCTTAAGACAAACTACCAGCTGTCAGGTGAAAACAGGTATGATGAAATGATTGCTACTAATTTCAATTACATCAGTAGGAGATCTTCAGGAGAAAGGTAAAATAAACGACGATGTACTTAAATAAATGATACTGAAAACTCTATCGATTACACATGTTGTTGTTAGGTGCCATCAAGTTAGTTCCGACCATCGCCATTGTCCACACAGCAGAAGGAAACACTGTCCGGTCCTGCGCCATCCTCACGTCTGTTCCTAGGTTGGAGCCCACTATTGCAGCCACGGTGCCAGTCCATCTCCTTGAGGGTATTCCTCTTACTGATTATACACAACCCCCTGTATTTTGCTGGGATTAGAAATCTGTGACTGCTTACAACTATTTAGTCATTTCTTTCTTTACTGCAGCTTTTGAATTTGTTTCCAAATAACTGATAGTGGGATAGTTTTACATATAGGGCAAGAGATTTTAAAATATTAACTCTTGGTAACAAGATTATCCGTTGGTGTTTTTAAAAAGTAAATGAATAGTTAACACAACACATTCAATTCATCCTTGAATATAATCTGACCGTGAACCACTTATTCTTC